CATCCAGCCGCGGCCGGCGCTGCAGCGATCGTTTCGACGTCTGGTCTATTTTCTGTGCGAGCCATGAATGGATGTGTCAAGCCGGGCAGGAAGTCAAACAAAGGAACAACAGCATCCGGTCAATTTTCAGAATAAAACAAATTTCAAAATAAAACACCCCGTTTGACAAATGCGATGTATATATGTGTGTGTGTTTATATACATATTAGTCAGTGGTATCTAAGCAGAGCGCGGGAGAGATGAACACACACACTCACACCCACTAATACACACACACACACACACACACACACACACACACAAGAAAGAGAGAGAGAGAGAGAGAGAGAGTGGGCCAGCTATAGGGGGTGGGGGTTGGGGCACACACACGCAAACAGAGAGATACCCATGATGGAAAAACAGCCCCAAATGTGACGGAGACAACAGCTGGGAGCATAAGCGCTTGTCGACCGGCATGGAGAAATGCGCGTCTGATGTGAACGGGCTCGCGCGAGAATTTCAGTGCGCTGCGCTTCGCAGCACTTCGCAGCACTTCGATGGCAGTGTGGCCCTGGCATTACAAGTTAACATTCCACCTTAGTCACCGACAGTCGGCCCAGTGAATTAAAATATTCTTTCTCAGACTCCAGCTGCTGCGAGAGGCAGCACAACATCCTTTCATTTTATAATTACAGTCTACTAATAAAACTCTCCACAGTATGAACAGTGGTTAAATGAGCCTCAAAACCAGCCACAACTCAGCCCTGAGCAGAGTGACCGCCCGCTATTGACCAATCAACAGACTGCAGTGTTCACAGCTCCACCTTTTAGTACCAGATCTGTGTGCTAGGTACCCCAACAGAGGGGGGACCAAAAATGGGGACGGTACGGAACGGTTCCATTGGTACCATCCAAACTTTTCACAGTGGAAGTGGAAAAGATGGGCACTGAACTGAACTGTACCATACTGTACTGCTTGGTGGAAACGAGGCTTTACAGACATAGTTGTGGGGATTCTGGTAGAGGTTGTTTGAGCCACCCTGAGATGTTTTGGTACCACCTTCCAAAGAGTTAATACCGTGGGACAGTCCCAATTTTTGTTACATTCCAGTGCACTCCTATAAGACTGCCAAACTCATGATGGACAGTTTTTAAAAAAAAGGATCAAAATCGATGAAACAGAGTCAGTGATGATGTTGTTTTTTACACATTCACCTTCCTTGTCAAAAGCTGGAGCCCACATTACTCAAAATGCAACTTGGAACTGCAGGCACGTGTGTTGTAACAATATTGAAATTTCTAACTTTGATAAAATATCTAAAAAAAAAATTGACATTTGATACAATTTTTGGAAAGAACTGACACTGAGGGCATACAATTTTACATTTGTATCAAAAGATAAATATAACAAGGCTATAACACTGCAGTTGTGACTTTTCTCAGTTTGTTGCAGAGAACAGCAGAATGACTGTAGTGAACACTAACAGAGCAAGAAAGCCCAGCTAGTACAGGTGTATCGACACTGCATACAATGAGTACGGAAATTATTTTACATATTAAGTATTGATGTCCATCAATAAATCAATATTTTATGGCTACATTAGCTCACAGTTCAGTTAGAAGTTAAGGAGTGTTATGCCCGTAATGGCTAATGTAGCCTTGAGCCTCTACAGAGGTGTGGTGAGCTCACTTCTTTCTAACTCCACACCAACAGATTTTTTTCTTTCATTTCCAAACTTGTATTCTTCAACCCCAACCAAGGAATTTACTAGACTTTGCGCAGCTCCACAAAAACCACAAAAGGCTTTATACAGCTTTTTTTTTTCTCCACATATGCAGTAGCACTCCCCGAGACCTGCAAACAGACTTTGATGTGTAAAATCACTGCGGCTCCCCTTCAGCTTCATCTCCATAGCACTGCACATTTGACATCTTAAAGTTGATGTTTCTAATATCAACATTTGTGCCTGGCACATTTGGTTTGATGGCAAAGCATCTTTAAAAATGACTGTACGTTTGGGCAGCGACATGTTGTTCAACACTGTTTATTTATCAGCAATGACTAAAACATGGCACACATGTTCATAATGGAGTTGGCACAAAATCTGCAGTTGGCAATCTCAGCACAGCAGACCCCGCAATGGGAGCTAACTAAACAACATCAATAGTAAACATTTTCTACAGAAGAGAAGTGAAAAAGCTAATTCCGTGCACCGTACCAATCCACTCTTCTAGTCTCCACCAGGCTCAATCGAGAGGCCTTTATTCTCTGACTCATATCTTCAGACGGGGGGAGCCAGAGCTGGCACAAAATGGCTCCGGGAACAATGTGCAGGCCTGATTGCTCTATTGTGAGTTAGCTGTGGCCTTTGACATCTCCTCCCGAACCAAAAGTGTCTAATTCTGACAAGATTTGTCTGGAGACACAGCTGGAGGGCATTGTCACAGACAGGTGCCATACACTGCCTGTTCAACAAAGAGAGCGAAGAGCTAGACAATAACAGAGGGAGAGAAAAAAAATTGCCACTGTGAAAATGGCTGTCTGTCTGCACATGCTCTGGTTTTTGAGTCTTTAAAGAGGCAGGCAGAGAGTGTCCAAAAGGTTAGAGGTGGATAACAGAGGGAACATGCCAAGCGAAATCAGAGTCCCGGAAGGTACATGTGTTCCCTTTTGTCCATTTGGCAGCTGCAGACTAAGGATGGTGTTATGTCCGCAGGGCAGCACGGTGCCAAGCAGGAAGGGCAGGGTCCACGAGCGGGGGAGACCATGCCCACGCACAAAAAAAATAAAAAAATAAAAAAAATACAGTAGAGATCTAGTGTGAGAGACCGTCTGTCATCTAAAATAATGTTAGTGTGCTAAAGTGCTGGCTGATGTGAAAGGATGGAGAGTTCAAGCTAACATACTGAGAGAGACGGGAGAGGTCAAGTCAAAACAGGAGACTGTCATCGATCCACAGTCCAGTGGTGTGTATGAAACCAGGGGAAGACACAAGCATGACACAGGTAAACCTCATAGTTTGTGATCTTTTACAGGGTTTTCAAATAGAAACGCAGACTCAGCCGTTAGCAAAAACTGTCACGTAGGTTACAACAGCAATCACTAACAATAAAAATAATGATAATGCCTGAAAGGGATCATTTACTTTATTTTGAAATGGGATTTTGTTAAGTAGTTGTCCATAGTCAGTGTTATATATTCATAGTTTAACCTTGTTTAAAGCGGGGCTGAAGCCATTATATCACTCTCTTCAACTGAACTTTACTGTACCGTGCTGCGCGGTGGAAAAAAGCTTTTGTTTCACTGTGTGACTTTCAGATCCGAACTAACATGGCGTCCATAGCAGCACATTGCCTAGCTTCTGTGCCAGCCAGGGGTAAGAAGAATGTAACTAATTTAGAAGGTCAATAACACACAATTCACAAAGAAGGCTTGGCTTAGTCATGAAGACACACATTAAACAGGCTTGGGGGTTTATATGTAGCAACGTCATCATGCAGGAACCTACGTCAGGTCACAATGGAAAATGATTTTAGAAGGGGCCAGGGAAAATATTTTGACTTGAAAACAGTGGTTCCCACCTGGTCCAGCCACTGGGTCCAGATTTCTCCTTTGTCTCCTTAGTCCATTAGTCACTATCTGGTCAACAGGAAACAGCACTTCGAATAAAAGCTCTGTGCACTGTACTTCAAAATTTAAGAGTGGACCTGCGACCCACTTTGCCTGCTTGCCCACTACCATGAGTTCCAGAGCCATCAGTCATTCTGCCCCCCACCTCCGGAGCTCTCTCTCCCCCATGACATTCGCAATAACAACTCCCTTTACTCTTTCAAATCCCGTCTGAAAACACACCTTTTCAAGCTGGAATACCTTAATCTAAATTAATGGTGACACACATATTGATGATGACGATTTTATACCTAATACTTGTAATTATGATTTCTGTCTAGTCATTTTATTAACTTTTATTGTATATTACTGAATTGTTTGATTTTATGATCTATGGATACATTGCTTCTTGTTTTTTTACTATGTCTTGTAAGGTGTCCTTGAATGTTCTGAAAGACACCTAAGTAAAATGCATTATTATCTTCATTATGACTTTTGGACAGTGACCCACCAGCTGGGAGCCACTGCTCTTAAACATACATACTTGTATTTGATATAAACACAGAATGACATAGAAATGTTAAATAAATAAAAAAATAACAGACCTGCTGGTTAAAGACTCAATGAAATATAAAATACATTTTCCAAGGTCTTATCCTATGTCCTCGTATGAATAGTTGTGTAATCCATTCATACATTACATGTCAAATACAGATAAAAATCAGCTTTAAGTATTTATACTTCTAAATCCCTCACTTTAATCTTCTTGTAATGCACATAGATACTTCAAGACTTCTTCTTTTCTGGAATTCTGGAATCGTCTGTGTGCACATAAATTCATTCAGTCGATTGTGAATTACTGGCTGACCCCTGCCATCATATATAAATGTACTTGACTGTCAGCTTGTGGTTCATAGTAACTTGTGAAGTTTGTGGCTTCTGAGGTGTGTTTTAAAATATCAGTTGGCAAAAACACTTCCAAGAGAGTCTGGGTAAGAATCGACTGTATTTATTTTTCCCTCATCCTCCACTGTATGATCTCAACAACGCAGGTGGGAGAAGTGTGCAGGTGAAGGTAAACAGTCTTCTACTACAGCTTCATATCTGTGTGGCTCTCCAGAAACTTGTACTTGTTGTGCTGTGCCCTCTTTGTGGTTATTGATTTTGCTTGTGTGTAACAGTTTTTCAGAGGGGCTACACAATGCACATTTTTGGTAGCATAAAGGAAATGCAGTGTGGACTCACAAAACAGTCCCGCTGCAGCAGGTGTTGTTTTAAAGACAATACTCTTTTGATTAGCAGCTCTTTTATATCACAACAGGTACAGATTTTATGAAGCATACGCAGTGCCACTCATTCACTTGCCTTTCACCAGAACACTCATAAAGTAAAAGTATTGTTGTTCACTTACAGCCTTTGTATATGTCTGTAGGAATCTGGACCGCACTGGAAGAGAAGTTGACCTTGTTTTTGAAATTGGGATCATCCACAAACTCCAGCTCCAAAGACGTCGAGCTCTCCAGCGGATTCTCCTCTTCTCCATCTTCCGCCTGCAGACACACACACACACATGCATGCACACACACACACACACACACACACACACACACACACACACACAAATCCGCGTGAGCATACAAATAAAATCACTAGGAAACGGGAGAAACATGCAAATATAGTGCCGCATTCTGTCACCTCCCATATTGTGGCTTTGCAGCGCCCATCTGTGGCTCTGGTGCGTACAGTATATTGTCTCTTGTTCTGACTCACACATGGAGTCTCACAGCATTTGGACAATGTTGAACACAAAAATAGTAATTATTTCCCCTTTTGTCTGCCTTCAGATTTAGGTGGTTCTTTACTCGCCCTCTCATCAGAGAACAACAGCAGGTATCAGCGCAGACACCAAACAGCGAGACTCATTAGTAACCAAGATATCTATCACAGACATATGAGGTGCCAGACAAATTAACCCCAACAATAACTACCAACCAGCACCACTTAATCACGGTTTCAACTCCCATCCATTCGAATGAAAGCATATTTCATAACAGACTATCTCCTCTCTCTCGCCTGTGATTGTTTAAGCGAAAAAAACGGGACTAATGCTGCATATTTTGTCACTTTTACAGCTTCTCGGTGAGGGCATTGTGCTTGGTGAGAAAGCCTGACACACATATTGCATTAGGAAAGTGTCAAATATCAAAGAAAGCCAGAAGATAAAAGAGAAAAACTGACATTTAAGCTTTTTATCTTGATAAGTTATCAATGGAGTCCAATCTGTGCCTGTTCCCACAGGAGGAAGTGATTGTGGGATGTGAAAACAAAAATGTCAGCAAGATACAACCTCACTCTGTGGCTCGGTTTATTGGCTTATTCTTGATCAGATTTCAGTGTGAGTAAAACTCTGTTAGATGCCTCCTTAGAAAACCGCACAAACCAAAAACAAAAGCCATATCTCTGATCATTCTTACGTAATCTAATTGCTGAAGAGCAAAAAATTTTACTTCAACATACAGTACAGGCCAAAAGTTTGGACACACCTTCTCATTCAATGCATTTTCTTTATTTTCATGACTATTTACATTGTAGATTCTCACTGAAGGCATCAAAACTATGAATGAACACGTGGAGTTATGTACTTAACAAAAAAGGTGAAATAACTGAAAACATGTTTTATATTCTAGTTTCTTCAAAATAGCCACCCTTTGCTCTGATTACTGCTTTGCACACTCTTGGCATTCTCTCCATGAGCTTCAAGAGGTAGTCACCTGAAATGGTTTTCCAACAGTCTTGAAGGAGTTCCCAGAGGTGTTTAGCACTTGTTGGCCCCTTTGCCTTCACTCTGCGGTCCAGCTCACCCCAAACCATCTCGATTGGGTTCAGGTCCGGTGACTGTGGAGGCCAGGTCATCTGCCGCAGCACTCCATCACTCTCCTTCTTGGTCAAATAGCCCTTACACAGCCTGGAGGTGTGTTTGGGGTCAATGTCCTGTTGAAAAATAAATGATCGTCCAACTAAACGCAAACCGGATGGGATGGCATGTCGCTGCAGGATGCTGTGGTAGCCATGCTGGTTCAGTGTGCCTTCAATTTTGAATAAATCCCCAACAGTGTCACCAGCAAAACACCCCCACACCATCACACCTCCTCCTCCATGCTTCACAGTGGGAACCAGGCATGTGGAATCCATCCGTTCACCTTTTCTGCGTCTCACAAAGACACGGCGGTTGGAACCAAAGATCTCAAATTTGGACTCATCAGACCAAAGCACAGATTTCCACTGGTCTAATGTCCATTCCTTGTGTTTCTTGGCCCAAACAAATCTCTTCTGCTTGTTGCCTCTCCTTAGCAGTGGTTTCCTAGCAGCTATTTGACCATGAAGGCCTGATTCGTGCAGTCTCCTCTTAACAGTTGTTCTAGAGATGGGTCTGCTGCTAGAACTCTGTGTGGCATTCATCTGGTCTCTGATCTGAGCTGCTGTTAACTTGCGATTTCTGAGGCTGGTGACTCGGATGAACTTATCCTCAGAAGCAGAGGTGACTCTTGGTCTTCCTTTCCTGGGTCGGTCCTCATGTGTGCCAGTTTCGTTGTAGCACTTGATGGTTTTTGCGACTCCACTTGGGGACACATTTAAAGTTTTTGCAATTTTCCGGACTGACTGACCTTCATTTCTTAAAGTAATGATGACCACTCGTTTTTCTTTAGTTAGCTGATTGGTTCTTGCCATAATATGAATTTTAACAGTTGTCCAATAGGGCTGTCGGCTGTGTATTAACCTGACTTCTGCACAACACAACTGATGGTCCCAACCCCATTGATAAAGCAAGAAATTCCACTAATTAACCCTGATAAGGCACACCTGTGAAGTGGAAACCATTTCAGGTGACTACCTCTTGAAGCTCATTGAGAGAATGCCAAGAGTGTGCAAAGCAGTAATCAGAGCAAAGGGTGGCTCTTTTGAAGAAACTAGAATATAAAACATGTTTTCAGTTATTTCACCTTTTTTTGTTAAGTACATAACTCCACATGTGTTCATTCATAGTTTTGATGCCTTCAGTGAGAATCTACAATGTAAATAGTCATGAAAATAAAGAAAACGCATTGAATGAGAAGGTGTGTCCAAACTTTTGGCCTGTACTGTAAATCTCTGAGTGTGGAAAATATGTGACTGCAATGTGCACGTTTCATGTTGATAAAGCAGCGTGGGTTAATTGGATCTGACATGATAAAAACTGTTTGTTTTTTGGAGAAATTAAATCAAAACTCCATGTCCACAGCAGAAATTGATTGATGGGCCAACTTTAATTGACTATTAAAATGCAATTACAAGCTGTTGTTGGGACGAGCAGGGGGATAGCTGTGTTGAAGTGCCACTGAAAGTCAACATAAGGAACGATGCAGTGTTCTGACAGAGACCAGCTCAGGAGGGATATGACCACAAAAAAATATCTTGGGGACAGGTAAATGGTCACTGAGCACACACACCTGGTCAGGGTGTCTACGGCTATCAGGCACTTTAATTTAATGCTTTTCAAGACCTTTTCAAGGTCACTTTAAACCAAATTTAAGACTGATGTATAAAAACTGATATGAAATATAAAGGTAAGTAGTATATATATGGTCCCTTAGAGATTGGTTTTATGTAGGAATATGGTTATTAGATTGAGTTAATCTACATTTCGCCTACAGGTAAGTATGAAGTAAAAAGACAGTTTTAGGTTCAGTGGTAGGTTTAAATTTGTGTAACATCAGAAATGTGGATTTTCATGCAGAAGAGCTTGACTCATTTTTAAAAAAGAAATCAAAAGATGGACAAGTTAAATTAGATTAAAATGTTGGTCGCAATTAAGATCTCACAAATTCAAATTTAGGACTATTTAATGACTTTTAAGCATGGTATTTATAAAATTAAATAAGACATTTTAAGATTTTTTAAGGACCTGCATACACCCTGCTGGTATTCAGCAAATAAGGGTGCTTTCAGACCTATAGTTGTCTTGCTTTGGTCTGAATCAGGGACAACTTTTTCTTTACAAAGGTGCATAAGTGCCTAGAGTTGGTTCGTGTTCTCACGGCAGCATTTACAAGCGGACCAGATCAAATGCCTTGTGCAAGAAAGCTGCTCTTGATTGGTCAGAACTTCCATGTGGGACAAATCCAGGAATTAAACAAAACGTTGAAGAAGAGTACACCTGTAAGATAAATGTGACACTTTCTAATGTCACAATGGAGGGACAACTACGCAGGTTGATTTTAGTGCTGCTCATTGTGGACTATATTGCTGTCATTGTTCATTTTAGTCAAACCATACAGTTTGAAAACGAGGCGTGGCTCCAACTAGAAAACAATGTTTTCATGCATTGGATGTGCTGAATGTGCATATTAAGGCAGTACAGGAGGAGGTGCACATTAATAATCCTCCAGGACTGTAACATGCTCATGTTTAACCCAAACAATGTGTCATGTGACTGCAGTTGGTGCGGATCGAGGTGGGAACACGTTCTCACCACAAACAAACCCACCACCTCTTCAAGAAGGTCTCCGTCTGCTTCTTTTTGGTGTGCACCTGAGTGCGATTGCTGTGTTCACACCTGCCCAAACGAACTGCACTTAGGGGGCAAATGAACTTGAGTTCATTTGAACTGAACCAAACAGGGCAGGTGTGAAAGCACCCTTAGTTAGCACTTAAATAGCATTATAAACGGTTGATTGAAAACTACTACACCAGCTTTGGTCTCATCAAAGAAAGCATTTAGTAAAAGCAGATATGACTTTTGTTAATGTGAAATCTGAGAGAATTTATATATAATTTAGACATTTTTAACGCTTGCATTACCTTTCAAAGAATCAAAAAGGCTCAGAGTGATACAGTCGCACTGTAAACATATTCTATATTTTCTGTGTCACAAGCTGGAGATGCTTCATTGTTAATCACTAGACTGCTCATCTGGACAAGTGAGAGGTTGTGAGACAAGAACTTGCTAATGTTTTAGTTTTATTGTAAAAGCTCCTCATATAATGCACGGTAGACATAATTTCTTTTAATCAGTCCTAGTCTAGGGCGCTGCTGAGAAAAGACTGTTAGCCTGTTGTTTTTATTCGACACCTCTGGGACCTGAGCTGAGGCTGCAATCTGGCAACCACAAGACTAAAGAGTTTCAGGTTTTTCCTCCTTTAATACTCTTTAAAAATACATTCAGTAACTAGCAGTTAACAAGTGTTATATTACCACTGTTAAAGCAATGACAATATAGTCTTTACCTGTGGTTCCAACCCAATACACATATTTTATTATTATTATATACAGGCTGGAGAAAATAAGAAAGGACTGAGGGAGAACTAAACAGGGTTGCAGATTTATAAAAAAGGGAAAATATAAAAATTGATAACTGTTTCCAGGTCATATTGGCTTTTATCTTCATAATAAAATCACACCACTCTGAAAGCAATGTAATGATATGAAAGAATAAAATGTACTGCTGACTACAAATGCTAGCGATTAAAACTAACAGTGGTGCCTGGGGCAGATCTACAGAGCTTGGGCCAAAAACATTAAGCTAAGACTAAATGATGAAATTATTAAACCTGATACTTTAGATTAATGTTGGTTTAGTGCAGATTTGTTGGCACAGGTTGGGTTTTCACAGGTTGTCTCTGCATTAATAGTAAACCAGATTAGGTTAGGGAAGCTGAATTATCAGCATCACTAACTGTGAGGTTGAGGTGTTTGTTTATCACTCAGTCTGACACTAATTCTGTCAGTGTCGGGCAGGGAGTTTTTTTTTTCTCTTCTTCAGAAGAGCCCAATCATAATTAACCAAGGCAGCGTCTAATTAGGAGCTGAATAAATCCACGCAGGAAAGACTGATTGGTTCATTTTCTTCAACCATCCACCACCTGTTTTGCTCGATTCATTACCCAATTTGTTAATTTTATCTCCCCGTTCTCAAGGTTTAATTAAAGGCTGAAGAGGCCAGAGATGACATTTTGAAGATTCTTTCATTCCCGCCTTCAGCCAACCAGGGCTAACCTCAAACATGTCACTTAAGACCTTGCACATGTGTGTGTGTGTATGTGTTTGTGTGAGTATGTGGGTGTGTGATGATATAAAAGCCTGCAGGAACGAGGGAGATAGAGAAAAAAAACAGTCCTTTAAACAAACAAGGATTCCTTCAGGCAAAAAATAACATTACAGCTGGTGAATAGTTTCTTTAACATATTACAAATGGAGTATGCCACAACTTTAAAAAAAATTTAAATTTGATTAAACATTGCAATTCATGGACTTGCAATAATTCATATATTTGATGTTTCTCTTCAAAGTAAATTACTACCTTGGGACATGAATGACAGTATTTTTTTATTTATTTATTTTTTTTTACCAGACAGTATTGCAGTGAGGGTAGGATCGTTCAGACCAAACAACCTTTGTATTTTAAAGAATGAAAACACAGGGGCCTTTCTGGTTAAACAAACGCTATATTACTGTAACTGAAACTGGAAACCATTTTTTAACTGGAAGTTTCCCATTTGAAAATAATGAAAAGGTCTCCAGCTGGTTGCTTTTTTTCCAACACCATATAAGGAAATGTACACTGTATGATAACCATATAATAACAGCACGATACTTTGAAACCGGTATATCATTGCACTTTAAAGTCATAATATTGTTCAAACTGTAGAAAACAAGACAGTCCAGAAAGGCAGCTGTTAAAATCTGTGTGTGTCACTAATACAAAGAACCCAGGAGGCTGGTCCATAGTCGAATAAGTGAAATAAATAAAATGCACTTTTGACATGCTTTGGCACATTTAAAAAATCAAATCACATCGCACTTTTGTATCAAGGGTAAAGTGACAAGAGGAGGAATTAACAGGGTACAGAGTACAGGATAGGGAACAGAGGAGACAAGGCCTGGATAAGAGAGCCTGCCAATCACTTACCTTTTTTACCACTGAATTCTTATCATATCTCCCTCACAGTACAGATCATTACGACACATACAGCTCATTGTGACTCCAGTCGTAAAACCGTAATTGAACAGGGTCGTCGTGGAAGGAATCGTAATTCAGATATGGGCATACTGGTGTGCGACTGTTGTGGTTGCAGGGAAGAGTGATGACCTCTGACTGACCTCTGCCACTGTGTTTGGGTGGTTGTGGGGTTGGTGAAGTGGGGGTCAGGGGTGTGTCACGGCCTCGGCCTCAGTGTGCCATGTTAATGATGACTGATGTTCTCCAATTAGATGTGCTGACAGGCCCTAAAGCGCTGTGTCATTAATCACAGGAGTGGCGTGCACAAAGAGAAAATCACACCATGATTTATGGCTCCTCCGCCTCACTCTCTTCCCCTCTCTATCTCACTCTCTTCCCCTCTCTATCTCACTCTCTTCCCATCTTTTTGTGCTTTGGTGATCTAGGGGGGATTCTTGCACTCCTCCTTGAAACTTAATCAATCAGCGGACACGGACTCCGAGTGTGACCTATCCTACAGAGGAACTGCAGGCGGAGTGGTGACAGCGGTGACTCGCAGGGCTTTTCTGGAGGAAACGGCGTAACCTAGCCTGCAGATCTTTCCTTGAATGTCATTCATATTCTTCAATATGAATGACACGCGTGATGGAAATGGTGTCTGGGTGTATGAAAGTGCGGCATGTTTTTGGTGCGAGGTGTCTTGATGGGAGATCTAACAACCCCGTAGTTCACGTCCGCAGTCAACACAGTCAGAGCGGGGAGGGAGAAGACTCTGGAAATAAGGCTGGGGGAGGACAGCTGAAGTCACTGTCACATGCACGTCGGCCTGCCCCTTCTCTGTCACACCAACTCACCATAAAGCAGTGTCACCTCACTAACACACACAGACATCCCAGGGGCCTGTGACTGGAGGGGGTGGGGGGTGGGGCATCAACACCGAGGAGGCCGGGGGAGAGGTGGGGTGGGGTTGCAGGGAAAGGGTGGCAGGGGTGGGTAGGATTTGGGGGTTTAAAGGCAGGCAGACGGGGGAGGGGGGGAGCAGTCCGTACTGTACTCACATAGTCTGAATCCGCTTTGGAATCGTAGTATGAAATGGCATTCTCCTGTGCAGAAAAGAAGAGTGAAAAGACAGGTGATGAGAGAAGATATAGCAGTGTCTATATCAGCCCCGACTCCTGGCGGTGGTAAGCTAGAGAGAGCCGTGGTTATATTCAATCACACTGTTCAGCATGAGAATATAATCAGCATCACAGAACACAGGAGGAGTAGTGTGATGTGGAATGGCAGTCATGAGAGGGCGAGCGGACAGCTGTAGAGAGATATCAAAGGATGTAATGCATCTGGGCAATGTTTGTGTCAATAAGATGCAATGTATGTGGCACATGTTCGAACTTGTGTTGAAAACACCGTAGGAACATCTTTATGTGTTGTGGAAAACTTTAACAAAAAAAGAATCTGCTGTTGTACGAGCTCAGTTTGCAGAGAAAAGAATAAACTCAAAATATTAGTCTCTCTGGGAGTCTTATCAACCTCCGCTGGCTGTGTTTTCAGTCTAGGAAAACAGCTCTCACAAAAGAAAAGAAACAGAAAAAGGAATAAGGAAAAGAATGCAAATGTATGCTATTTTGTTACACTATTTTGCTCTAATTACAGACTGAAGTTACCAGTCACCAGCTGAAGCCAAACATTCAGCCTCTTGCCACCAAGCTGCCGGCCTTTACCCAGAGCAGAGACCCCATACTCAGACTGTTAGCCTCCCCGCCGTCCCCTTCTCCTCTGAACTGGCGTCCTTATCTCCCGTAGAGGCAGGCGTGAGGGCGGGCAGGGGTTGCATGCAGCGAGCAGCATCCGTGGGGCCTGCCTCATTATCATGAGGAGGCTGGCTGAGGATGCACTCTCAAGGGCACCACAGTGACTGACTCGCCCTCACTGGAGGAGCCGCGGTCATGGTCTGATGCGGGAGGGCGGCTGACGGAGACAGAGAGAGTCTACTGTACAGGTACAGCGAGTCTTACACACGACTTACTCAGCCTGACTTATTTTCTCTCAATTTCTGTTTGTCTCTTGCTTGCTTTCACCGTTTTGCTCTTCACTGTTTTCATCTCCCTCCTGCTGTCTCACACACATGCTGCTCTCTGTGTTTGTTTAACTGGTACAGAGACATACACACACCACCTAAATGCAGAACTTTTCTCTGTGTCTGTCAGCCTCCATCCTTCTCTCTCAGCTCCCTCCTGCGTGAGAGCCTCTCCATACACCACGACCCGGGTCTTGGCTGGCCTCCAGTGCTAATCAGAGAGTCAGTCATCAGCTCAGCTCAGTCCCTAACAACCCACCAAAGACACACAGTATGATCAAAACTCGCACTGACACTGAGCATGGGGCTGACCGGCCCTGACACAGCTTGTGTCTTTGGGTAATAAGCATGGACAAGATAGAGAAGAAGCAGAATCTGCCCCCCTGACACATCTCCTTAACTTACCAGCACTCCTCCCCAGCTCTGTCAGAGAGATCAGGAGTGAGGACGCAAGGAGAGGAGCTGAGTGGAGGGATCAGAGCAGATCGTTCAGGGAGTACACTTGGTTAAGGTGGAGGGTTAGTATGGAGGCTGAGGTCGGGGTGATACGAAGGGATGGACTGAGAGGAGAGAGATGGGTGGTGGTGGTAGTGGTGGTGGGTGCAGTGGGGAAAGAGCTGCCAGGGCTAAAAATAGCCCGTGCCTCTGCAGAGAGAGAAGAGAAAGAGAGCGAGCGAGACTGTGGCAGAGCAACAGTGTTGTTGTGTCTGCCAGCAGGATTGATCTGGAGCCCAGTCCTGCTTAGACTGGTCCCTCGCTTCTAAAGAGTTTACTCTCACTACTGCGGCATTACAACTCATTATTCAGGACTGCTTCCTGTAAATAAACGCTTGGTTCCTTGCACCCGAGGGACACCGTCCAGCAGCTTTACTGAAACAAATAATACACTCAAAAAAACATACCACACATTGCTGAGGAGAGTTAGTGAGAGGTCCAACACTGTAGCTCGCTGGCTAACACTTCATTACACAGTATTCTGTGCCTATCTCAAAAAATATATATATATAATACACAGCGTTATATATGATAAATCAAAGAAAAAACAGTGGAGAAACATACATAACAAATGCAGATGATTCCATACAGGGCACACAGGGTCACTGGATGATTTGATCAGCATGAAAATTATGTGAATCATATGCTATGCTATCCCTCCAGAGTTCCACAGACTAGTAGATTTTATGCAAAGATACATTGAAGCTGTTCTGGTGGAACCTGTCTTAGATATTTATATTGGTTTTCCTTTTATTTATCATCCATCTATCACTGGTATCATGTCTGTTTGCACAGCTGGACAGCTGTATTTACCTTGCTGCACCCTTAGCCTGTACATAATAACTTACTCGCTCCCATCATGCACCATGTACAGACAATAGTCACTGCTTACAGTCATGTCTCAGTATGTGTAGCATTAGTATGGTGTTGGCAGCACATAATGCTTTCTTGTTTTCAATTGCATCATCACTATTTAAGCTAATTCCCCCTATTTAGCATTTACCTTAAGGCAAAATACACGTCATCTGTCACTGTCAATATAAATCCTGCATGCTGTGTTTACAGTATATAAACATGTACACAAGCACATAATCATCCAGTCCATGGAAATCCATTCAGTATTTCTTTCTTTGCACTAACCGCATCTATATACACTTGAGTGTTATGTAGATGTTTTATTTTTCATTTTATTTTTGGTGCTTTATATATAAACACCTATTCTTTAACATGTACACAATAGTCATGCCTATTCTTTACTATTATTTGTCCAGCTTTGTTGACCTTGTTCCCTGCTGCCATGTCTATTTCTGTGCAAGTACACTGGGAGCGATGGACAAATAAATCAGTCAGGTTTCCTGTATGTGTACACATGCTTAGCCAATAAAGGTGGTTCTGTTTTTAAATTGGTTATAACATATGGTAGATAATTGGACATTTATATGTTTATTAATGTAAAGCAATCATAACTTAGTAACTGAATACATTAATTATTGCTTGTGCTTTTGTATATTTTCAATAGAAGGAACACTGATGTTGACAAATACAGTAATGAACACTTATATCTGCTTTTAATACATTCATTAAATGTTTATATTATGCATATAAATGCTAATAATGGGTTTGAATATTAAATTGAATGGAAGCGAAAAGATGAAGAGAACTCAGAGATGGGATTTTTTGTTTTTAAGTCAAGCTACAATCTAAAATTCAGAGCAGGTAGGACATGATTGGGCACAGCAATGATATCTATTGGATTACAAATGGTAATTCATAACAAAACCTACAGCAGTACCAAGATGAATAATAGCAATTGCGCTGTAACTGTTAGCTTCAAGTCAGATGTTATATAAATTCTACTTATTTGTTGCCTTTTGCGATATGATGAAAGTGAAACCTCTGAATGTAATTACACGGGCAGTTAGAGATACACTGATCCTACTCATGAGCAACCTCTGCCTCCAACCACACACTCTGACACACACCACACAGACATGCACAGAAGAGGTGGCTCCGTGTGGACGAGTCCGAGGCCACCATGACCCTCTGAGCAGCCCCTAGGGGCAGCACGGCCATCTGCTGCGGCTGGTCACAGGTCTCTATGGGCTTGGGGTCTGGGTTAAACACACATCTGATACAACACCAAGCCAACAATTATCCCACATGCATGTCTCTCTGAGGCCTGTGCACCCTGCTAATACACACACACACACAGTATTTAACACATGATCGCATTCTCACAGACACTCGAATGCAGTATGTCCGCACTTGTGGATATACATACAGAGCAAGTCTATACACAAGGCTTGAGTGTATGCGCTCACTCACCACATGCACGCAAAAGAAACACACAAAATCTGAGAATTTTCCACTGACACAAAGTGCTATCAGTAAATTAAATCTATCATGCTGAGTGGACCAACAAATTCCAAACAGGAGACAAACACTGAGGTCAGGTGATGATCTCCAGCCCCTCCCTTACATCAATCTTCCTCCGCTCATCTTCTTCCCTCTCCTCATCCTTATCTCGATCTGCTTCCTCTCTCCTCCCTTTGCCACATCTCTCCTCCTCCTCCTCCTCCTCCTCCACCCTGCCCTGTCTTATCTTCATCTCTCCCAATCTCTCTATCCTCAATACCAGCCTCCTCTCGCCAATTTCAGATTTCAGCAAAAGCAGCGGCGCGTAGGTTAGATGCCTACTGTTGCTATAGAAACCGCCCCTCTGCTCTAGATTACAATGTGACTTTGTCTCCTCGCCAGGGCTACAATGTCTGCTCGTTTTTATGTCTGACCAGATACATGCCTGCCTATCTTTTGTTTGTCTGTACGCCTGTCAGTCTTTCAGACTATGAGGTTGTTCATCTGCCAGCATGTTTTCTTGTCATCGCTACACGCTGTTATTTTAATGTCACCCACTGCTTGTAGTTACACATTTAAACTTCAAAAATCTCCTGTCAAGTGAAGGTCGGAGCCTTTAGAGCCCCAAAATTTCATCATATGCGAGGAGGGCCTTGACAGATGATTTATCTGGTAAAGCATGGGCCAGGGTAACAATGTGTGATTGAAAAATGGCTGCTACATAAAGGCTGTCATATGTAGGGGCACATGTAATGACAGAGTGTGGTCGCTGGGGCTAAATCTTTTGAATTTTGAAACTGTGAGCTCTCTCAATGGGCTGGCTGAGACAGGTTGACATTTGAGTGTGAGACAAGCGCTCCATCATGGGTGGGGACAGATTACAGTCATATTCATATCTCCTCTGGACACCTGCTAATGATTTTATAATTACAGAACACACTCTGTGCCTCCGCCGTGCCCTGAGGTGTGCACACACACACACGTAGAAATGTGCACACACATACACACGCACGCACACACAACGTCTTTCACGTACACACACACAGTGCACCTCTCTCTTGGCCTCGATAGTCTAGCAATCATTCGTAGCACCAGTTTCCCTAATGGAAGCTGACATTATATCAAACACAATAAAGGATTTCATTTACTGCTCTTCATTAACCCACGCACATCAGC